AGCTCAGTAATGAAGTCACTCCTGAGGTTCACCCTTCAGCCAAAGATTAGACAGGCCCATAAAACAAAATGAGACTAAATGGGCACACCAGCCTAGGGGCAAGGACGAGAAGACAGGAGGGGACAGGAAAGCTGGTAATGGGGAACCCAAGGTCGAGAGGGGAGAGTGCTGACATGTTGTGGGGTTGCCAACCAATGTCACAAAACAATACCTGTATTAAATTGTTTAATGAGAAACTAGTTTGTTCTGAAAACCTTCATCTAAACTACAATTTAAAAAAAGCTTAAAAAAACAAACTAATGAAACCAAATGGAGAACAGCAATTCAAAAGATTAGATAGAAAACTCGGGGCAGTGAGTTTACATTCATGAGGGAAAAACAACTCAGCAAAGGAGGGTGAGAACAGTTACACAACTCGAAGAATATAATCAATGTCACTGATCTGTAGGTGTAGAAACTGTTAAGTTGGTGTGTTTTGCTGCATGTATTCTCAACAACAAAATAAATAAAATTTAAAAAATAAAAAAAGGTAACTGAGATTACTCTGGTTAGGGTGAGCCCTAATCCAGTATGAGCGGTGTCCTTGTAAAAGGAGGAGAGGAAACACGGAGAGACAGAGGGAAAGTGGCCACGTGAAGACGGAGGCAGCGGCTGCAGTCATGTGTCTACAAGCCAAGGAATGCCACGGGTTGCCAGGCACCACCAGGAGCTGGAAAAGGCAAGGGAGGGTCTTCCACTAGAGGATGGCCCTGCTGACTCCTCGATCTGAAACTTCAGCCTCCAGAACTGAGACAGTAAAGTCTGTGGCTGTAAGACATCCAGCTCGTAGCACTTTGCACGGTAGTCACAGGAAAGTAATACAGAGATATGAAGGCCAACAGCAGAAGGAACGGCAGAGATACTATGATACAAATTTTAAAACCGACATTCCTCAAAACACAAACAAGTACCTGTGAGGGGCTGCTGCCTGGCCACGTCCCAGACCTTCACAGCCACGCCGGCTGCGCTCGCCAGGACGCCGTCGGCGGTGGGATGGAACTGCAGCACCTCCACCTGGAGGGTCTCCGGCCCCAGCACCAGCCCAGGGACCGTGGGCAGGGCCTGGCCTGGGGCTGGCAGCCGCCACAGCTTCACCTGCAGGGAACACCAAGTGTGTGAGCCCTGGGCTGGGGGCCTGGCTGTCCTGTGCTGGAACTGGGCTCTGCAGGACAGCACCCCTACCTAGGTGGGCACAGAGCCATAGGGCCCCGAGGCAGGGAAGGCAGGCCAACTCCAGGATTGCAGAGAATGGAGAGCCCAGTGGGGATATCACGGAGAGCCAGGGTGCCGGGGGCATTGCTCAGTCACCTCCAAACCCTGTTTCCCTTCCCAGCCCAGCAGCTGTCACAACTACGGCTCCCAGCAAGCATACAGGAGCTGCCCCCCAAAAAACAAAAACCAAACCTGTGCTGTCAAGTTGATTCTGACTCATGGCGACCCCATACGTTACAGAGTAGAACTGCTCCATAGGGTTTTCTTGGCTGTAATCTTTATGGAAACAGACTGCCAGGCCTTTCTTCCGTGGCACTGCTGGTTGGGTTCAAAGCACCAACCTTTAGGTTAATAATCGAGCGCAAACCATATGTGGCACCCAGGGACCTCTGGTTGCCTCGGCTGGGCCCTGAACTAGGAGGGAACACAGCCCCACGGGGGCTCGGAGGGCCCAAGACCAGTGGTGGGGTGGGGTGAGGTGATGAGCAGCTCTCCCCACAGGCTCCACTCACCGTCCTGTCTGCTGAGCCTGTGGCCAGGAGGAAGTCATCAAAGGGAGAGAAATCCAAGTCCGTGACCACGTCTGTGAAAGAGGAGTGGTTGACACAAGGTCAAGGAGAACCCGTCAGAATGTTCTGTTTCCAAACGCAGTGTGACTCCTCCCCCAGGCTGGGAACCACAGACTGCGCTGCTGCCCACACACAGGCAGGCTGCCCCTCTACAGGCCAGGACACCTGTGGAAGCCACATAGGCAAATGCCACGGGCCCCTTCTTGCGACACCTGTCCCCGGGAGCCCTACTGAGCCAGGGTGGCTGAGGGCCTTGGCAGGAGAGGCGCTCGCTATAATACCCAGTTCCGGCATCCACCACCATCCAGGGCCCCATATGGGCTCACGAGACGTATCTGCAGTGTTAACGAAAATGTCCCCCGCCTCCTGCCCCCAATTAAACATAACTCTTAACCCTTCCCAGAAACCAAAAACTCATGATAAAGACAGTTCTGGGAAAAGTTTAAATAGTCAGACAAGCAATAACTAGTCTGTAGAATGCAGACACGCAAATTTAACAGACCAGTCCAAGCCACCTCCTGCCGATTAAGTGAACGACAACCAGTCACTTTAAATTTCCCTTTGGGAGCACTCTCCTAACAGTCCGTACTACATATGAGCTGATCAAATCTGTAACGAGATGAGCTTTTTTCTGCCCAATAAAACCTTTGAGTTCTAATTGACTCATTGAACAGATTTTTACTTCCAATAGCAGGGTGAAAGAATTCAGGAATGAACTTGAGCGTCGACCCCATTCTGGGCCTACCAAGAGGTTTAGACGGAACAGACACCATCCCAGCACATGGACACACACTTCTACACCAGGTGCCAACACAAGATTGTACACGCAGGGCCCAGTGAGAGGTGCAGACTCCCAGGTGCAGACCCCAAGGTCAGGGATCAGGGAGGGGATCACGGCAGGGGCATGGTGGACCCTGGAGGACTGGAACAGGTTAGGACACGGGGAGGCAAGTGGAGTGGCCATGTAACCCTCCTCCTATGGAAATTGCCTGACCTCTCCCCCAAGCCAGAGCCACTGACCCCCGGGAGGGCACCTGCCCTGAGCCTGATCAGCTAGCTGCTCTTGCTCTCTCTTTTGTTAAATGCACTTTATTTTTTAGAGCAGTTTTAGGTTTACAGTAAACTGCACAGAAAGTACGAAGAGTTTTCACATCCTGTTATGGATTGAATCGTGCCCCCCCCCAAAAGATATGTTAAAGTGCTAACCCCTGTTGGAAACAGAAGCTTTGAAGCTGTTATCAGCTAAACTAACAGGAGGTCACACTGGAGAAGGGTGTGCCCTAATGGCATCTGAGTGGCATCCTTATAAAAGAGGAGAAGAGACAGACAGACAGAGGGAAGACCACCATGGCTGCAAGCCAAGGAATGCCTGGACTACCAGAAGCTGAGACAGACAGTCCTCCCCTAAAGCCTTCAGAGAATTCCGACTTCTAGCCTCCAGAATTGAGAGACAACACACTTCTGTCATTTTCAGCCACCTGTTTTGCAATGCTTTGTTACAGCAGCTCTGGGCAACTAATACACTGCCTCTGCCCGAGTTTCCCCTATTCCCATCTTGCACTGGTATGCTACGTTTGTTACAACTGCTGAACCAATACTGATACAGTCTTATTAACTAAAGCCCCCAGTTTTATTACGACTCCCTCTTCGTGTTGTGCAGTCCTACGGGTTTTCACAAACGCAAACAAGAACACACAGGTAATCTACTTAGCACAGTGCCCGGCATGCAGCGCTCTCTCGATAAATCTCCACCATGGCTATTAACCACCATCGCCATCAGTGGGCCCCTGGATTCTTGCTCTGAGTACACCCAGCCTAAGCACCAAGGATCAACCTCTTCCCTTACCCCAAGGCCTCCCAACAAGGCGGCCAGGACATCAGAGCACAGGCCCTGGGCCTGCAGCTGCTGCAGCTGGACAGGGAAAGAGGAGGCCAGTGGGGCTGGTGCTGCCTCAGCTGGAGCAGAGCAAACTGTTCCCTCTCACTGGCGGGCTGCCAGGCACCCCCCGCAGCAGCTGCAGCAGACAAAAGCTCTCTGTGTGAGGACCCCATCTTGGGCCCTGCAGTGGAGTCAGCCCAGCCCCCTCGATGGAGGACCCTGAGCAGCCTGGCTGGGGAGGAGGCCAGGAAGGGGTGCCCTGCTAGATGCCAGGAGGGGACACCAGGCTAAGGGCCACCCAGGGCTGAGTCCACAGCAGTGACGGGAGCCTGGAGCCTGTGACCAGAGTTCTTAAGGCTGGCCAGTGCCCAGAGCTCTCTCTCAGCTTGATGACCTGCAGCAGGCCACTCCCCAGCTCTGCCTGGGCTGGAATTCTAAACCAGGACCCTGACTTCCAAGCCTGAGACCGACTCTGTCTACCAGAAAGCACAGCAAAGGTGACAGGAGGGACCTGGCAGCCATGTGCTATGGGGCCTGATGAGTCTGACTCCCTGGGAGCTAAGGAAGATGTCCAGGCTTCCGGAGTTCTGCACCCACTCACCTGAATGGCAGCCCAGGTGGGTCACGTGTCTCTTGTCCTCTCCCTGGCCATCCAGAGGCACGATGCCCAGCACACCTGTTAAACAAACACAGGGCTCTGGCTTCTGGTCTAACAGAGACCATCTACCTCCGGGCCCAGCAGACATCAGAGGCAAGCTTCAAAGATCCCAGGGCTCCTAGGGGAGACGAGCCCTCCCCAGACCTCCAACAACCTAAGACCATATCCCTCTGGACACAGCCCTGCCCCATGCAAGAGCCTTCCATGAGCTATGATGTATTGAAGACACTGGGAAAAAAGGTTGTCTCTCTGTTGCGCCGCGGATCACAAGAGGTCAGCCATTGACTTTTACCAGTATGTGGAGACATTTTACCTGAGAAAGAAGCCAGTACCCACAGACAACAGAGCTGACGGACAGAGAGAGGCCAGGCCCTGGGACTGTATATGAGCCCCTGGATCCAGCTCTACCTGAAGCCCCTGGACATGTCAGTTACCCAAGCCAAAAAGGTACCTGTTTTTTGCTTAAGCTGTCACGAGGTCTCAATTATCCCTTGCAACCAAGAGTCCTAACTAACACACAAGAGCTTTTCAAATCTTTGTGTTCCTATGCAGCCAGCCACCCCCAAGCCCAGTCCACTCCAGGGCCAGTCTTTCGGAGCTGAGGAGTGGGCAGTAGAGGAAGACATCTGGAAATAAGGTGACACAAAGCCCTGCCCTCCTCAGATACAGAGGAGTCAGTCTCCCTCCCCAGCCTCATGGCCATGCCCTTGCAGACCACAACCAACGTGGTTTATATAAATCACGCAGCCATACCCTAGTCAGAGTCAATCTGATTATCTTGCGTGTTGCCCAGTTTGCAGGGGTTGAAGGCTCTGCCTGGCTACTTACCTCTGAGCATCACCAGGCTCCTCCAAGCCCCCTACCTGCAATGAGCCTGTCCTCCTCCCACTCCATCTAAGATGACAATGTCCACATCTCCACATCTATGTCCAAGCCCTCCTACCTGGACGGTCGGAGTTAAACGCAATCACACTGCAGCTCGATTTGATTTGGTTCCCGCATGAGGGGGTGGTTCCTGCTCGAATGTCATTGATCCAGGCCTGCAAATGAAGAAGAAAAGTGGTGGTGATCTCCAGGGCTCCATCAGCTGAGGAACTCCACCTTAAAGCTGCACCATTAGAGATGCTTTCCTTTGGCACAAACCTGTCCCTACTCATACAGTCCCTTAGAAAATGCAAAACATTCTCAAAATGTTAACCTGCATCATTGTTGTTGTTGTAGCCAGCTACTATAGAGTCAGCCCTGGACTCAAGGTAACCCCACGTATTATAGCGTAGAACTGTTACAGAGGGTTTTCTTGGTTGTAATCATTATGGATTTCACCAGGGCTTTCTTCCAAGGAGCCTCTAGGTGGGTTCAAACTGCAGCCTTTAGGTTAGCAGCCGACAGCAAACTGCTTGCCCCACCAGATCTCCTTACCTACATCCTTAACAGGGTGAGTTTGCTTATTAGATCAGTTCCCTGATAAGTGGGAGGAGGATGTCAGAAGGATGCTCAGGCTGAGCGAAGTCCATAAGCCAATCGGGCAGAGTGTGTGTGTGTGTGTGTGTGTGTGTGTGTGTGTGTGTGTGTGCGTGCGTGCGTGTGTGCGTGTGTGTGCATGTGTGTGTACAGGGCTTGTTTCTGTTCAGCAGGAGGAAGAAAAATAAAGAAAAAAGTGAGCACCTAAAAGAGAAGACATATTCAACTTCAACTGTTCTGCTGAAGGACACCCTGGTCTAGGAGTATCCTCCAAGCACCAGGATCAAACCGCCCAAGCTCCGAGAATAGGACATCAAGGGCTGGCTTCCTTCGGAGAACATGCCTTTCCATGAAAGTCCCGTAGGTGGGTGGACAGCACACCCTCACGAAAAGGCATAACATGAACACTCCTATACATGGGGAGGCAGAGGAGCACTTATTCTGAAATGAAGATCAACAAGATTCACATATTTTCTCTGTTGGTGTCAAATGACCACCCAACACTCCTAACTGCTGCCTGACAATCCAGCACCCATAGTTCCCAGTCCACCCAAAATGTCACTAAAACCACAGCAACCACCTGAAGGTCCTATTTCCCAGGTAGAAGGTTCCCATCTTGCATTATTTCCTCCTGATTGGTGTTCACTGTACAAAGACAATGACGGGAAGTACCTTCGCAAAGGAGAACGGCTCACCTGTTACCTCACCTCTCTGACAAACGGTGAAGCTCTGCCTGTCATCCATGCATCCATATCTGCCTGTTTGCCCTGCTGGACTGTGGCCACCTGGGAGCAAGCCACAGGGCCCTCCAGGGACCCCAAGCAGTACTTATAGCACTGAGAGTGACTGTCCTTATGCACATCTGAGCACCTCACTGCACTCCCTTCCAACTTCTCAGTGGTTCCCCACTGCACTTAAGAATGAAACCCAACTTCTTCCCATCGCCCTCGGCTCTACAGGCCAGCTCTGGCCTCCTCTAACCCCTCTTCCTTTACTGCTGAGCTCCAGCATCCTGGTCTACTTTCAGTTCCTCCACCAGGGCCCAAGGTCTTTGTACAAGTTGCTTCCCCTGCCGCAGAATTCACATAGCTGGCTCCTTCTCCCCCTTCCAGCCTCAGCTTACATGTGAGGTGGTGGCCCACGATGACTCCCCTATTGTGATGGACCACCACCTCACCCTTCCCCATCCCACCATCTTCTTTGTGCTCTTCAATGCACTTATTTGATCGTTGTTGAGAATATACACAGCAAAACATACATCAATTCAACTGTCTCTACAGAGACAATTCAGTGACACCGATGACATTCTTCGAGTTGTACAACCTTTCTCGTCCTCCTTTTCTGAGTTGTTCCTCCCCCATTAGCATAAACTCACTGCCCTGTATGGTTTCAATGCACTTATTAAAACTTGCAGTGGCCTTAAGTGCCTGTATGCTTCTTGGTTGTCTCCTTCCCACCTGAGACTGTAGCGCTGGTATGTTCACCATCTGGCTCCAGCAACTGTTATTGTTCGGCGCCGTCAACCTGATTTTTGACTTAGAATGGACACCATGTGACAAAGTAGAAATGCCCCACAGGGTTTCCTAGACTGTAATCTTTATGGGAGCAGATCGCCAGGTCTTCTGCACAGCTGCTGGGTGGATTGCAACCACCAACTTTTCCGTTAGCAGCCCAATGCTCAACTGTTGAGCCACCAGGGCTCTCTATAGCTCTTTAGCTGGTACAGAGGAAATAGTGTCAAGAGAACAAAGCAGGGCCTCGGCCCCAGGCTGCTCAGATGTTCTTCTGGCCTGTGATGGTCACTCGATGTCAGCTCAGAGACTCCGTTGCCTGGGGACACTCCCAGGCCCTGCGAATGACCCAGGGTGCTGCAGACCAGGGCTGGCACAATCTCTGACGCACACCCTCAGCAGCCCACCGCCCTCCCGGGGTCTGAGACGTCCCCTAATACCTCGGCTCTGCTCTACCTCTGCGCTCCACCTGCTGACCTGTCCCCAGGCCCCACCCAGTCCTCCCTCTCCCCGGCAGCGCAGGAACCCGCACACCCAGAGCAAGGGAAGAGCTTCCGACAACCTCGAGAGGAGGAAGCGCCAGCGGAAACCCGAGGGAAGGGCGGGCCTCTGATGTAGGGGCTTCTGGTCTCCGGCCGACACGCTCGGGTCACCCAGACCGGAGCAGAGACTGGCATCTCAGTATATCCCTGGGCAAAAAAAGGACCCCAGGCGGCAGGACGGAGGAGCTGGCGTCCAGAACCGCGGCTCTCCCGGGAGGCCGACCGGAAGCCGAGAGGCGGGTAGCCTCGTAGGCTTGGGGCCCGGCCGGGAGGGCTGCGCCGCCTCGGGGGTCCCAGGGCGAGGCGGACGGGCGGCACTGGCCGGCCACCGGGACCCCCGAGCACCCTCGGGGACGCCGGACGCAGGGCCTGGCCTGCAGGGGGCGCCCAGGAGACGGGGGACGCGTTGGGCTCGGCAGCCGGGGGTCCTCCTGAGAGGCCTGGGGAGGGACAGGGGGCTGGCGTGGAAGCAGGTCGAGAACGCGGGCCCGCGGACCGGACTCACCTCGCGGCGGGGCAGCCGGGCCTCCATGTGCCGGAACTTGGACACCTTGAAGCGATGCATGGCGCCGGCGGCAGCGACAGCAAGCTCAGCGCGAGTACCCGGGCGGCGGCTCTCAGGTGCACGTCCAGCAGCCGCGACTCCCGCCGCCTCCGGCCCCGCCCGCGGTCAGAGCCGGCGCCACGCCCCACCGCGCCCCCGACCAATCGCAGTCGCCGCCGGCCGGCCTGGCCAAGCCTCTGGGCTGGCTTCTTCCGCGCGCGCGCGCCGCCGGCTTTGCCTGTGGGCCAATCGCCGCCCAGCCGCCCAGCGAGGCGTAGCCCTGACCTAGGCGCGGGAGGGGTGGTCACGTGCGCGCGGCTGTCCGCCCACGGCCCAGGCGGTGCGTGGGGACTGGGCTAGACAATAGGTATTTTGTGTCATTTGTCCCCTTTGCCCCCGGGAGGCTTTCCAGTGTGTAGGGCGCGCCCTCCCGCACTCTACCTCCTCATGAAACAGGGAGGGTAGAAATTAGCTCCATTTCAGAGCCTGGAAACTGAGTCTCAGGGGCATGTCAGTCGCTGGCCCCTGGTCTCACCGCTGGAAGGGGCAAAGCGAACAAGAGCCCAGGTCTTTGGACGCCAATGCCTGTCAGTGAGGCCAACTCAAAAGCTTCCCCTACCTCCCTGCACCCCACCCGCCCTCCTTAGGCCAGGTGGGGTGGATGCGGGGGTGGGGTGGAGGTGTCCTCATCATCCCCTTATTAGGACGTTTCTTGGTTGGTCCCCACAGGCCTTGGGCGTGGTGGGTGAGGCAGGACTCCCCGCAGGAACTCAGTGCAGTAATCTGTAGATAAGCTGACAGGGCGAAACATAACTGCAAAGGAGAAACACTTAAATAGTCAATATGCCCAACGGGCGCTGCCTGGCCAGTCCCCCCACCCCCTCCCCACCCCAGTTGAGGAGAAAGAGAGATGGAGTTCATTCCACCTCAAGACATTGATTACGCAAACATTTCTCTTCGCTTTGATATTGGCTCCATGATTCCAGAACGTGCTTTCCGCTTGTGGACATACAGAACACCTGCTCAGGTGTAGATAGGAAAAGGTCTTTGATCTAAGAAATGAGAATGATTGGTCGACAAATGGCCAGCTGCAATGAAAATTCCCTTCCCACAGCCTGATGGGGAGGACAGCCTCACTGAAGTGGGCTGCCTAAAGGGTGATTCTGAAAACATGGCCTCCAGATGGGCCCAATGGATCCCAAAATGCAAGTTCTTTCTTTAGTTCTCACAGGTTAATTACCAAACCCACTGCCTTGAATCAATTCTGACTCATAGAGACCCTACAGGACAGAGTAGAACTGCCCCATAGGGTTTCCAAGGCTGTAAATCTTTCAGGAAGCAGACTGCCACATCTTTCCCCTGAGGAGCACCTGGTGGGCTGGAACCACTCACCTGCAGGTTAATACAGGGACTAAAAGACTACTTGAGGCAGTGATGATTCAATGGTAGAGTTCTTTTCTCCCATACAGGAGACCTGGGTTCGATTCCTGACCAATGCGCCTCACGTGCAGCCACCACCCTTCTGTCAGTGGAGGCTTGTGTATTGCTATGATGTTGAAAAGGTTTCGACGGAGCTTCCAGATTTAGACGAACTAGGAAGAAAGGCTTGGTAATCTACTTCAGAAAAATCAACCAGTGCAAACACAAGGATGACAATGGAACGTTGACTGATCGTGGGGATGGCGCATGACCAGGCAGCATTTCCCCATTTCCCTCCATTGTGCGTGAGGTCACAATGAGTTGGGGGCAACTCAAAGGCAGCTAACCACAGCAATAACAGCAAGAAGACTACGTATGGGTATCCTACTAAATGAGTTAAGAGCAACTAGATTTGATCTCTGTAAACTAAAAACAGGATGTCAGTAGTGTTCAGTGATGACTGGAATCTGGAGTTCTGAGCCATCTGGCTGCCCAGTGTGCAGAGCTCCTGGGACACACGCTCATCAGACTCTGGAATTCCAGCAGTTTTGAGGAAGGGCACCACCAGTGCTGTCTTAAGTTGTCTGTGGTGTTAATTACTGCAAATATTGCTTTTTAAATTACAAATCGTGTAGTACCATCATTTAGTCACTGTTGGTTAATTCCATAGGGTACAGAAACTTGTATTTGCATCAACAATATGTGACTTCTGACTTTCTAATAAGGGGACTTTCAGACATTATGCGTGTGGTTCAAATATAATCAGCTGTGCTCTTATTACAAAAGTACCTGCAAACATCCCCAAATTTGCTTGGTTTCACTTCATTGTAATACTTAAGTTGTTTTAAGTCTACCGTTACGTCAGAGGGACCTAACAGGGTATGGCCAGAAAGTGAGAAAGCCATTGACCCCCTGAGGTAACAAATGGACATGCCATGGGCTAAATCTGGCCCACAAGGAAACAGAACAAAACAAAAACCAAACCTGCTGCCCTCGAGTTGACTGGGACTCACAGTGACCCGTGTTACAGAACAGAACTACTTCCTGGAGTTTTCTCAGCTGTAATCCTTACGGAAGCAGATTGCCAGGGCTTCTGCAGCACCACTGGGTGAGTTCCAACAGCCAAACTTTGGGGTAGCAGCCGATTGCAAACTGCTTGTGCCATTCAGGTAAGTGCCTTTATTCGGTTCACATGGTGTTTTCAAAAATTGGTAAATTTCATAGAAGTTTGGATTTTGGCCACTCCTGAAAAACAGGAAGATCTGGCAACACTGGCTCCACGTCCCAACATGGCAGATGGGCTGCAGCTGAGCAGCACCTGCTACGTTTAAAGCCCCACCAGTCTGTCATCTTATACCTGGCCACTCCACTCATACCATTACCTGCCTGGGCCTGGCCCCCGAGTGTGTGACCCCTGACGGAGACAGAAGGAAAATTCCTCTCCCAGGAGCCGGCTGTGCTGACTCATGTGACTGTGTTTCTATAAACCGGGGGCTGCTGGAGGCAGACTGAAGAATATCAATGCTTTCCCAACCCCACTGTGACCAGCCTGAGCTCCAAAGAGGGCAGGAGGGAAGGGGCAGAGATTCATCAAGGCCCAGAGGGTCACTGTCCTCCCACCGTGTTCCCAGATCCACTCTGGCTGAAGAGTGGTTCTTTCTAGTAGAGTTCAGAGCGCTCAGGCTGCTGCAAACTTGACCTGAGTCAATTACTTTGTGATTTGCCAAGTTGGACCGGAGGGCCTCCAAGAGTCCTCTGAGTCCCATGAACCTATGAATTACCAGCTTTCTTTCTTTCTTTCAATGATTTTATTTTTTATTGTTGTTCAGAATATACACCAATTCGACACTTTCTACAAGTACAATTCAGTGACATTGATTACATTCCAGCTTTGCTTCTTTATACTCCTAGTCATGCAGACAACATCACTGTTCGTCTACCATCACCGGAAGCCACCTCTCTACCCTAAAAGGCTGTCTGTCAAAAGGCAGGCAACTCCCAGCAAACAAGGATGCCTGGCATGATGATTTAAATTTCACAGGTTCCGTTTTCAACAGTAATTAATAATAAACAAGAATTTGGGAGTCTATTGTAGTGAAGGCCTGATTCTAGAAAACTTGAAGACCCTTCATTCAACTGAAAGAAGGAACATCAGCAGAAAGAAAAGGGACAGGGTGGAAGAGAAGGGGAAAAACAGACACACAAAAACAAACAAAAAATGCACAAAAGGCTTAAAGGGCTCATGATGCATCCTAATTGTAAACTCATACCAAAGACGAGAAGTTTCCGACACAACATCCCTTAACCTGTAAAATCAGTGGTTTCAACAAAACAGAGTTTTTGTAAGAAAGGAATGGACGAGACTGGCTTCAAGCCAACAACAAATTCTAGTTATCTGCCCCTGAACTGATTGCTTATTAAAATGCACACTGAAAACATGTTTACACGTAAACCCTGCCTTGTTCCACTTCAGCGGCTGGTGCAGAAAGGCACTGTAGTTATCTCGGCACAGGAAGTGAACACTTATGCAATATGACAACATTTCAGTAATTGGGCAAAACACTCATCATTCCTCCCGAACATGACAATGCACCGAGCATTTTTTTTTTTTTCAAATGGAGGTGGACGCGTGTTATTGGGGGTCTGAGGCTGTACTAAATTTAGTAATTTTGCTTTTACTTTTTTCTTTTACAATCACATTCAAAAATATTTTACTAGGTATAAATCCCAACTTTAACTTTTGTGGTGATCATTTCCAACTAAAGCGCCCTGTTATGGACTGAATTATGTCCCCTAAAAATGTTTATCAACTTGGCTAGGCCATGATTCCCAGTAGTGTGTGATTGTCCACCATTTTGTCATCTGATGTGATTATTCTATGTGTTGTAAATCTTAACCTCAATGATGTTAATGAGGCAGGACTGCATCTACAGGATTAGATTGTATCTTGAGTCAATCTCTTTTGAGATATAAAAGAGAGAAGAGGGACCTCCTACTACCAAGAAGGAAGCGCTGGGAGTGGAGCATGTCCTTTGGACCTGGGGTCCCTGTGCTGAGAAGCTCCTAGACCAGGGGAAGATTGATGACAAAGACCTTCCCCCAGAGCCAACAGAGAGAGAAAGCCTTCCCCTGGAGCTGGTGTCCTGAATTTAGACTTTGGATTTGTAGCCTCCTAAACTCTGAGAGAATAAACTTGTCTGTTAAAGCCATCCACTTGTGGTATTTCTGTCATAGCAGCACTAGAAAACTAAGACAGGCACTTTCACAGAATAAGACCTACATTCCCTAAGGTGATATTTTTCACACTGGAGTCTGCTAGTCACCAGGAGACCCACAGCCTTATTCCCTGCATCTATGATCATTTTTTTTTTTTCTGCTTTAAAAGAATGCCTTTCATTTCTCAAGTTTGCAAAACATTGCTTAAGTTGAAGCCTAGGCTGGGCAGAATATTTAGCTGCAGGAGAAGCCACCTATGGTTTCTCAAAAGGCCTTTTAGAAAGTCATTAGAACAGCGGTCCCACTGGAGAATGCCTAGGTGATGGAGGCAAAGCAGCAGCTTGTCTCCTTCCACAGGGAACAGCACCTACTGCAGATGTAATGCCTAGGAACATCTGGATCACTCATTCCATACCCCCTTGGGACTGTCCCAAAATCCTTTGGGGAGGAGAG